CAGCCTCAAGGTGCCACGAAGGAAGCGAGACATAAGTGGGTGTTTCCCGAGGGAACCTCCATTTGAAGGGGTGTGGTAAGCAGCTAAGGCCGCCACATACACCTTCAGTGTGGAGTGGGATAACCCTGTGGAGAGACGGTCCTGCAGGAAATCCAGCACTGTACCAACCGGGCAGTTAACTGGGTCCTGCTGGTGCTCTCCACACCAAGAGGTGAAAAGTTCCCACCTCGCGCATATAACTTCCTCGTGGAGGGAGCTCTGGATCGGAGGATGGTCTCAACGACCTCAGCCGAGAGACCAGAATCTATGAGCTGGGCCCCCTCAGAGGCCAAGCCCACAGCCTCCATAGCTCTAGACGGGGGTGAAGGATCGACCCACTCGCCTGAGAGAGCAGATCTCTCCTGATCGGTATCTCTAGGGGAGAGCCGTCGAGGAGAGACACTAGGTCCGCAAACCATACCCGGGCCGACCAGAACGGGGCTATTAGCAGGAGACTGAGCCCGTCCCGGCGAACCCTCTCCAGAACTCCTGGGAGCAGAGCGATCGGGGAAAAAGCGTACAAGCGTGACCTCGGCCACGGATGTACCATCGCATCCAACCCCAGCGAGGCTGGATGGCTGCGAGAGAACCACAGCGGGCAGTGTGATGTTTCTCGAGAAGCAAATAGGTCTACCTCGGCAAGACCGAAATGTTTCCATAGGAGTTCCACCACCTCGGGGTGAAGACTCCATTCCCCGGGCCTCGGCCCCTGTCTTGACAGGATGTCTGCCCCCTGATTAAAATACCCCGGGAGATAAATAGCTCTCAGAGAAAGAATTTTCCCCTGGGACCATAGAAGGATCTGACGTGCCAGTTTGTAAAGCGGGCGAGAACGCAAACCCCCCTGATAGTTGATATAAGAAACCACCGATGTGTTGTCTGTCCGGACAAGAACATGGTGGCCCCTTAGGTCTGGGAGGAAGTGTTTCAGAGCCTGAAACACCGCCAACATCTCTAGGCAGTTTATGTGCCACAGACGATGATGGTCCTCCCACAGACCCTGAGCCGGGCGACCATCCATGATCGCCCCCCCAACCCGTGAGAGAAGCATCTGTCGTTAGCATAACGCGACGACAAGGAGCTCCTAACACAGGGCCTTGGGACAGAAACCAAGGATCTTTCCACATGATCAGGGCGTGATGACACCGTCGCGAACTCACGATCATGCGAAGCGGATTTCCCCTCGGGGAGAATCCCTTGGTCCTGAGCCACCACTGTAACAGTCTCATGTGCAAGAGGCCAAGAGGTATCACGTTGGACGCAGCTGCCATGAAACCTAACAGTCTCTGGAACTGTTTTACAGTGGATGACTGGCCTAGCTTGACCTGATCTACTGCAGCGAGAATCAAAGCAATACGAGCAGGTGACAATAGTGCCTGCATCGTCGTTGAATCCCACACTACACCTAGAAAAGTGGTTCTCTGTAATGGAGAAAGAACACTCTTTTTGGCGTTGAGCCTCAGCCCCAGTCACTTGATATGAGCAAGAACGACATCTCGGTGCCGAACCGCCTGTTGTTCCGATTGAGCTAGAATCAAGCAATCGTCTAAATAGTACAGAAAGCGGATGCCCTGTAACCTCAGCGGGGCTATAGCAGCATCCATACACTTCGTGAATGTTCGGGGTGACAGTGCTAGGCCGAACGGAAGAACCCGATATTGGTACGCTTCGCCCCCGAAAGCGAACCTCAGGAACTTCCTGTGTTGAGGGAGGACAGATACATGGAAGTAAACGTCCTTTAGATCTATCATGACAAACCAGTCCTCGGATCTGATTTGAACATCCCCTGTGACAGACACAGCGCCCTGTAACGTACTGGCAGGGAACAGCTGGCCTGGGCACTCCACAACCCTCCTCGGAGGGGGCGAGCGTCCCTCGGGAAATCGCTCGCAGAGTCTCTCTACGCCCTGTATAGGCAGGGTTAGTAGAACAGACCCCTGAGGGCATCGAGAAAGACAGGGCACCGTGTTTTTGTGCGGTGAACTCAGGTCTTTCACGATAGGGACCACCCTCAGAGTCCTGACGTTTAGCACGTCAGGATTTTTCTTTTTCCCGATGAAGTAGTATCCTAACTCCCTGCTGGGTGGGGGACCCATTCCGCCAGGAGCTCTACTAAGGGAACCAGCCTCTCGAGGCTGGCCTCTGGATGAACATCCCGAGTGACAGACACAGCGCCCTGTAACATACTGGCAGGAAACAGCTGGTCTGAACACTCCACAACCCTCCTTGGAGGGGGCGAGCGTCCCTCGGGAAATCGCTCGCCGAGTCTCTCTACGCCCTGTATAGGCAGGGTTAGTAGAACAGACCCCTGAGGGCATCGAGAAAGACAGGGCACCGTGTTTTTGTGCGGTGAACTCAAGTTTTTCCCGATGGGGACCACCCTCAGAGTCCTGACGTTCAGCCCGTCAGGACTTTTTCGACGCGGCCTTTCTGGCGACAATGACTGTCCTCAGATCAGTCCTGCCCCGAGAAGGCCGCGCCGGAGAGCGCCCGCCTCGTCCCTCCAGTTTCTCTGCAGGAGGGCACGAGACTTGACACTCCGCTTCTGCTGTGCTCTTTTGGAAGACGAACTCGACGAAAAACTTTGCTCTGGTTGAACATTCTGCGTGACAGACACAGTGCCCTGTAACGGCGCACCAGCAGGGAACGACTGGTCTGAACACACTAGAACCCTCCTTAGAGGCGGCGAGCGTCCCTCGGGAAAGCACTCGCCAGACCCTTCTACGCCCTGTTTCGGCAGGGTTAGTAGGACGGGCCCCTGAGGGCGCCGGGAGAGACAGGGCACCCTTAAGGGAGGTGAACGCAAGTCTCTCTCGGCGGGGAACCCCCTCAGATTTTCCTTTGATCGGCCTGAAAAGCCTGCATAAAAGTCTTTTTATTTTTATTTTTATTTTTTCGTATGCAAACATGCAACCGCCTGCCCAGCCACCGAGTAAGCCTTCCCCACCAGCACAGAGGTATATATATTTATTTATTTATTTTTGGTGGAAGAGCCGGTGCTTTAAGTGAAGACGATGAAGCAGGAGAGAGATAGCTCGCGAGCGTCTCCTCCGCCTACAGTATCGTCACATAACCAGCAGATTTAGCACCAACAATGTTACCATAAGCATTGGACTGATTTGTGTAAATTCTGCTTGAAACCGGTCTAACCCAGGTCTTTGACACCTCAGTATGAAGATCTGGGAAGAACGGTAAGCACCGGCGAGAAGGTTGAAGTCGTGCAGACAGAAATCTATCATCTAGATTGCTTTTAATTCTAGAAACCTGTCTATCAGCTGGCCACTCGATACTGTTTTTTTTTTTTTTTTCAGCTTTTCAACAGCCCGAGATAACACATCCATCAAACCTTCTTCATTTGCAGTATAATGTGATAAACTAGTTTTCTCTGATGCAAAACTTTCGACATCCAGCTCCTCAGAACTGGAAAATCTCAATTCAACATCATCATGTGCCTCCACCCGGGCAGAAGTAACCGCCGCAGCGCGTGCTTCCAGAGCCGGGTGAGAGGCACTAGATCTCGGCGGAGATAGCTGAGATAGGCCGGAGCCCGTCTCAACGTCGCCAGTGAGATCCATCTGCGAGCCCCAAGACAAGCGCCGCCGCTCTGCCTCAACAGAAGCGGGACCCGAGCCTTGGGGAGCTCGCAGCAAATCACTCTCCTCGAAGAGCGATCGCCGCGAGCGCAGAGTTCTCAAGGGAAAACACTCGCAATGCTGACAATCGACTCCCTCGAGAGCCGACTGGGCATTGCTGCACTTCCCAACACACTTCTTATACTGCTCGCTCATATTGGTTTTTTTATATAAAATATATATAGTGAAAACTCCTGACAAAACAGACAAACACAATCGACAGATTCAGACACACACAGAGCTGCTGAAGTAACTAAAAGCTGGCGTATTGTGTACTCAGGGGATATTTATAGCTTCCTGGTCGATGACGTCACTCGCCGTACGCTCATTCTCTCCATTGACTGATTTCATTCATGCTTCAGACGCGTCACGCTGAGGGCGTTCCCACTGCGATTACACGCAGCGGTAGTCCCTGAAGGGGAACTTATAGTTGAGCCACTGTAAGCACATGGAATATTTAAACATTTTCTTTAATGACTTTCTGGGCCGTCAAGTGTCATTCCCTTAGAAAGCCTATGTAGCAGTGATCCACCTCTCAGATTTAATCAAAAATATCTTCATTTGTGTTCCGAAGATGAACGAAGGTCTTACGGGGTTGGTACAGCATGGGGGTGAGTAATTAATGACTTAATTTTCATATTTGGGTGAACTAACCCTTTAAAGTTATATTCATGAGAAGGAAGTCTGTCTTTAACCATCTGTATTCATTCACTGTAGTCACATTTTAATGCACAAGAATTACACTTAATTAAGTGATCAGCAAGATAGCCGCTTAATAGAGTTTGCTCATCTGTATCAGTGTTGTTATGGTTAACTAAAACTATTAACTGAAATACAGCTGAAAAAAAGAAATATAAAAATTCGATGAAAATCTTACATTTAAAAAACGTTACTATGTTTACTACTTTTTACTATAATCAAGTATGTTGGAATCATTAGAGAGATGCAATCATATGCAATTATATTCTTGTGAAAATAGCATAGAGGATCCTTATTATCTAATAACACTGACTGAATCTGTCATTTTCTGCAGTGGCCCTTGCTAATTCCTTTCCCAGGTCAGTTCAACCTTTAGATAACTTTTTGATCTGCTGTGGTTTAATGCATTACTTTTTGCTACTATAGACTGAGTGTTTTGATTAAAGAGAAGCCCCAAATGCATCTGATTGTTATGTATCAACGGAATAAATCAGTCCCAATTTCTGGTCTCTGTAAACATCTGCTATAACACTAGGGAAATCAAAAGTGTAATTACTGCAGCTCGTGATGAGTTTGTTTTTCTTCCATTTCTCCCCACCTTCGATCACTTTTTTTGTTCTGTTTTTCAAGGATTAATGCGTATGCAGGAACTGATCAAAGCTCCGTCCAAAAACAACCTGAAGATCCGTATTCGCCAGCTGGCGTCGGGAGGAGGTGACAGTCGCCCCCTGCTGAAGGAGATGAAGAAAGAAAAAGAGTTTTACGTCATCTTCGACTGCTCCTACCAAGTAGCCGCCGAGCTTCTCAAACAGGTGCATTATCCTTTCAATAAATTCTCGTTTTGAACTTTCGTTGAACTCAATGTTGCGCAGATTGAAATGGATTGAAAATGAGTGTCAAGTGCTCTTGCATGCTGTGACCCAGCAGATTCTCAGAGCTGTACTTTAAAGCGGACATGTAATTCAGTATGCCATGCTGCCTTTATTTCTGAATACTGCAGAAATCGTCTTATTTCACACTCAACCCATCTTTGCTTTCTTTTCCTTCTGGATTCTTCCCAAAAAACATCTTTTGTTGTGTTTCTCCCCTGCAGCTGATGTCGATGGGTATGATGACAGAGTATTATCATTTCTTCTTCACTACTTTGGTGAGTCTGAAAGGCTCCCTGCTTGCTATTAATAAGAGCTCTTTTTATTGCATTAGATGATGAGCAGGCGAAGTGATTTTCTGCTGTTTCGTATAATTGTTACTGTATGATAAAACCCCACTGACATCTTGACTTATGTCAGGCTGTACAATATTCATTCTGATTTATGTTTGACAGTGTTCACTCATTGACACATGAGACTGTAATGGTAGCGCACTATCCTAAGCTTTTGTGCTAATGTTGAAAAAGGTTTTAAAAAATCAGAGTGAAATTGAATTTAGGGAAGAATTTATAACTAGAAAAAGAAAGTCATCAAGACAAACTTTTAAATTATGGCTTGGAAACCTTATCAGAAAGTTTAAAGAAGTTTAAAAAGTCTGAAGGCCTTGACAAAAAGGCCTAACAGACGGACATAAGCTGATATGCTACCATTTCAAATTTTAGTGTTATAAAGTTTTTTTTAAAGAAATTAATACTTTTATTCAGCAAAGACACATTAAATTGTTCACAAGTGACTTTACATTAAATACTTTTACATCGTTACAAAAGATTTCTGTTTGAAATAAATGCTGTTTTTGAGCTTTCCACTAATCAAAGAATCCTGACAAATGTATTACAGTTTCCACAAAATATTAAGCAGCACAACTGTTTTCAACATTGACAATGATAATAAGAAATGTTTCTTGAGCACCAAATCAGCATATTATAATTTTTTATGAAGAATCACTGAAGACTGTAATTATGGTGAGTAATTATGGTGAAATTTCAGCTTTGCCATCATAGAAATAAATTACAATTAAAACAGAAAAGAGTTTCTTTAAATTGTAATAATATTACCTGTTGAATTCAGTAATTCAGTAAATTTGACTTTCTGACTTTCTGCTATGTAAATTACAATTCTACTTCCTGTGGGTTGTGGCCAATTCAATCCAAATTCCAATTTATGAATTTAAAGGGAGACAATTCTTAAATTCAGAGTTTTGCACAACCATGATTTATGGACTCCTAACAAGAGCTTAAGGCTGCACCACAAACAAAATGGACCATTTTATCTCTTATGGCAAAGAAACACATGGCATGAAGAGGTTATATCTTGTGCAAAGTTTGCACAGCTCTTAAAGCTAAATCTGAACAAACTCTTGTTGTCTTGCAGGATCTGTTTGCTTTGGATCTTGAGCAATACCGCTACAGTGGAGTCAACATGACTGCCTTCCGCCTCCTGAATCTAGATGATCCGTATGTGGCTTCCGTGATCCAGAAGTGGTCCATGGAGCGCCAGCTGGCACCGCCCAAACCTGAGAGTGGATTGATGAGCGGCATTATGACTGTGAGGATCGCTCTGATGTCATGCTCAGTCTTGTTCTAGAGTACTAATACAGTTTACTTTTTTAAAATTTCCACAATCAAATTCTGTGAGTCAGTTTAGTTATCGCAAAAATAAAAAAGTCTTGCCTTGACTTCCATTGTGAGTTCATACTGACAGAATTTGATCCGCTCCTGTAAGATATTGCATAAACAGGACAATTGACCTATTGGTAAGCCCCTCCCCTCGAATGCAGATGAGCCAATGGCAGTTAAGTATCAGTTGCATGGGGACTGGAACTCAGAGATCTTTAGGTTTCAGCGCCATAGAGAAACATTGGAAGATCCGAAGCTCTCATCAGTTTGATGGTGTTTATGCTACAAAAATGGTAAAACGATGTGCCTGGAGTAATTTTAACACTGATTCCAGGTATCCTGAGAGGATGGGCAATGGAATTTATTTTATTCCATTTCCTAAACCCAAACAAGACAATGCAAAATGTCTGCTGTGTATTAATCCAATGATGTGGGCGCGTAGTAACCTGGCTCCTTAAGGATTCAACCCCAATCCCAATGAAGACGAAAACATTCATTTTCTGGTTGTCATACTCTCATTAAGTTACAATTAAAGTTAGTGAGTCCATGCTAACGTACAAACCTAAATAGCTAACTGTTCTTACGTCATGTACAGACTGGTCTACAATTCAGTGCCTCTCCATATTAATCTGGTTAAATGTAAATTAATTTAATCTTACCCTGCAGTACATGAACAGTGTTGATCCTGGATCCTGATGTAACATGAGGCTTCTCCCGCTTGCACTTTGATCTGTAAACCCTCGCTTCCAAATTAATCTTGTTACCCACCATATTTATTTTTAAATCTTTTATATATCCCTCCATGGCATATTTAAGTCCCACATGAATGCCCCTCGACAAGAGGTGGTCCTTTTGTGTCCAAAATGTATCAAAAACATCTTGGGACAAGGTTTTCACACTGACAGCTGTCATTGAATGACAGTTAGCGACTCCGTTTGTTTGTCCGAGTTCGCAACAGTAACTAAGGGGGGCAGGGCTACCGATAGGTCAATTCGGAGTCAAACCTCTTAGTAAATACAGTTGTCGATCCCAAACACTGACTGTGTGAACGCACTGTAAAACGAGTCAATCGCACTGCACAAAATCCTCATTTACATATAGACCAGAACTAAAACCAATCCCTAACTTCTTAAAACCACATCCTTCACAGTTAGAATAACTAGGATTAAGTTTTACCGCTGTTGACTAATCTACCCGTCCTCCAGAAGGCAGTGTATACTGCTAGCACACACAGCCTCATTAGACACGCATGAAGAGCTTAAAGCAGAAAGCATCCAGAGATTTATTCAAATCTATTTTTACCATCCAGGTCACATTTTAGCACTGAATAATACCCAGAGAAACATAAGGTGTGCGCGGCAGGGGACAGGGGAGGAGCTCTTTTCCTGTGATCAGATGGAAAGGAAATTAAACTTAAATGTCATTATGTAACGTTCAATATTGTATGAATGGTAAACAAAAACACTTTTTGCCTGTATATTAATGCATTCACGTGAAGTTTGATTATATTTAGAGCATGTTTTGTGGGTAAATTCTTCCCTCCTTCCGCAGACCGAGGCTGCTCTCATGTATGACGCAGTGTTCATGGTTGCTGTTGCGTCTCAACGGGCCACACAGATGACAGTGAGCTCCCTACAGTGCCACAGACACAAACCCTGGAGGTACGGCCCGCGCTTCATGAACTTGTTTAAAGAGGTGAGAATATTGTCCTTTATGTAGCAAAACGCACTCAATTGATATGAATTGTAAACTTGATTTTAATTGTATACGATTATAGACATTTTATTTTTAACTTTACAAGAAACAGTGTTTTCAGTTAATTCAAGTGATTACAAATAAATCAAGTTAAAATTATACAAATTTTGTTTTATTGTCAAGGAATATGTTTTCTTGCTGCTAAAACGTATACACTACCATTAAAAATTGTGGGGTTTAAAAGAAAAAAAGTTATAGCGGCACAACTGTTTTCCACATTGATAATAATAATAAGAAGAAATGTCTCACTAAATCAGCAAATTAGAATGATTTCTGAAGTATCATGTGACACTGAAGACAGGAGTAATGGCAGCTTTGCCATCACAGAAATAAATTACACTTTAAAATATATTAAAAAAGAAAGGTTGTTTTAAATTGTAAATATATTTCACTTTTTGTTTTTGATCAAAAGAGACTTCTTTTAAAAAACATAAAAAAACTTACTGACTCCAAACTTTTGAACGGAAGTGTATATAAATTGCAGCAGTGCATAATACATCATATCATTAAGAAGATGAGCAGTTATTAATGCATGAATCAAACTCTGAATTATGACAATTTCTGATGTTTTTTCATGCATCATTTTATTTATTATAAATAAATAATAAGCCCTGTTAACTAGGGCTACGTTAATTGCGTTAAATATTTTTAACGTGTTAAACTGGAAAAAAAATAATTTAATGCGTTAACGTGTAAAAAATATTTAACGCAATTAACACAGCATCCGTTTTTTCTGTCATTCTTTGGCTAGAGTCTCATTATCACGCTCTTATTCATGCAAATGCCTTTAAACCATTCAAGCGCGACAAATCAAAAGAGAACGCGCTGCCTGTGATTGTCCTCTTTATATGACACACACACGACGCACAGAAAAACGCATGCCAATATCGTGCGTGCGTACAGACAGCGTGCCACAATCGAGTTCTCTTTCGTGCTTGAACAATAACACAGTTAACACAGCCAAACTGTCCCTTTTGTCGAGTATCCTCATAAGAGCAGCCTTAAATGAGTTAAATAAAGTCTAATATGAACGTAAAGAGTTGTGAGAGAATGAGACGCGTGTGAGATCCGCGTCATGTGCAGCAGTGGCAGGTCTTAAAGTGACAGCAGCCACTAATTCTGTCTGTCCGTAAAGTTAATCAAAGAACAAAGGGAAAAGAAAAAAATCACTCACTGCTCTTGACTAAAGAACTTTTGTAGCTTTAATAAGGATTCATATTTATTTATTTTTTTATTTTTTTATATCTTTTTATTGGAGAATCACAGATGTTACATTTTACAGGAAGTGAAACAATTATCCAGTTTCATTTTATCTTACCAAACTAAAACCTTATACAAACCCCCCCAACCAACACATTTATCCAACCCTTCCCACCCCCCACATTTTGACAACAGTCTGGGAAAACAATCTTTTTCCATTTTGTTTGCTACACAGTACTTCAAAAGAGTTTAAGGATCTACACATTGAAAACAAGCACACAACTGCATGCCCACATTTCGACCCCAGTTGGGGTTAACAGGGCTTTAAACTCAGTTTCACAATTGTCAATCAGGCTACTAAGTTCCCACCCTATTAAGGTAATTGACCATTGATTTGAATAAACATATATAGAAAAAAATAAGAAAGGAAACAGAGAGAGGTTGTAGTCAATTTTCAAATATAAAGGAGTCTCATACTTCAGGCAATACTTTGAGATTCTCAAAATATGTCACAAAGGGTTGCCATTTTAAGTAAAATTTCTGGACGGACCCTCTCAATGTGAATTTAACTTTTTCTAGTTTAAGAAAAAATAATACATCCCTTAACCATGCGGCCACCGCTGGTGGAGTAGCGGATGTCCAAGCCAGTAAGATTCTACGACGGGCAAAAAGTGATGTAAAAGCGATAATGTCCAATTGGTCCCGGGTTAGGGTTAAGGTCTCCTTTGGAATACCAAATATTGCAATCAACGGACAGGGCTTAATTAGAATTTTTATAACTTCGGATAAAGTTTGAAAAACAGATGACCAATATTGATTTAGACGGGGGCACAACCAAAACGTGTGTGTTAAATCAGCCGGAGAGAGGGAGCATCTATTACAACTCCCGTCCGTTCCTGGATATATATCTGCTAACCTAGCCCTACTGAAATGAGCCCTATGCACTACTTTAAACTGAATGAGCCCCAAGCGTGCACAGGATGAGGATGAGTTAATCCTTTGTAGTGCATCCTCCCAGAGTCCGTCCGACAACTCAACCATCAACTCGCCTTCCCACCCGTTCTTAATTTTTGAAAGGTTTTGGTTTTCCAGAGACATAAGTTGAGAATATAATAGTGATATCAGTCCTTTTTTTGAGGATTCATATTTTCTACCTGTTAGATGAGGAAGGGCAACTGTAAATATTACATTTATTATGGGTTTATGTGAGGATTGTTTTAAGTTCACTTAAATAAAGTTGTTATATTTTTGAAGCCTAACAAATGTAAAATATTTGATAGCTGTCAATTACACTGTAATGTTGAATGGCTATAATTAATGTTAACATTGCATTACTCATTTGTATTAAGTCAAACCTTTACTTGCGTCGATGGTCATGCACATTTCATATCTGCAACAGTCGCTACCACTCATGTTGGGTTAATTTGGTAATCACTGTATGATCACTGAATGTGTGAATACTGAATAATTGTGGAATATTTATCAGACAGTCTTTTTGTACTGTTTTAGATTTTAAACAACTTTTCCTTTAGATTTTTGACCCGTAGGTTACATAAAAATATATTTGTAAATAAAAAAAAAATTCAGGGCAGAGGTGCCTGAAAATGGATACTAGTACTTTGATCTTTTTTTAAGTCCCAGATCACTGCTGGATGCTCTCACCGCCTTTGAACCGAGGGGACACTTCTCCTTCATGTTTGAGTGTGGGGTGTGTGTCCATCCACTCTGAGAACTCAAAAATCGATGCCCATGATAACTCAAAATGGCTGTCTAGGGGAACGAAAGCTTGTTCTGAATAGGCCTTTCAGTATAATTTTTAGATATGCTTTCAATTCCACTTGCATAGTGACTCAGCAGTCAGAGTGTTCCTGGCTTTAGAAATGAAAGAGGCTTTTTAAAAAAATGAATAGTGCGACATTGCATTAGGGAAGGGGCGGCCCGGCAATGCTCAGCGGTACTGTACTAGTCGGTTTGTACTAGAATCCCTCGGTACTCAGTTTGCACCTTATTCACAGAGCGGCAATGCCAGAAAAAGAAAAAGTACAGGACTTAAAGCTGCCTGTCATTCATTTCGTACATTTGGATTTGCTGACATCTGGTTGGTTGACATGTCTTTAGATAGTTTTTGAAGAGATGTGTGGTTTCGGTGATGGAAATATGGTCTAATTCGGTGGCACAAGTTAACAATGCGGCTAACATTGCTTACGACATTTTTAAAGCTGAAGTGTGTAATTTCTGCACCATTAGTGTCACCAAATGAAATTGGAAACATAATGGCTGATTTCAATCAGGCTTCTGAAACATTTCCTTCGTCTTCCAGAAAAACAGGTAGCCCCACCCCCAAACTCATTTTATAGGTTGAAGTGTGTCAGTTCTGTCCTATAGAGTGCAACAGTCCCCGCCCACTATTTCAGCAGCCTTGGTTACGGAAGTATTTTTTCTATAAATTTTTCCCATAGGGATTTTTAAAATATTTGTTTATAAACCAAACCAACCAGCTACGAGGTGAATCACAACATTATAAGCATTGATTTTAAGCAAAAACTTACAAAAAGACAAAAGTAGAAGACTGTGTACTTAATGGTGTTATTGAGGGAAATTAAAAACAAATTATTTCAAAGTTAAAATAAGAGAAGGATAAAAGCAATGATTTAAAGAAGGTGATTATATATAGAAACAATAGTTTGTGTGTATTGTCTAAACACATAAATGATTAATTAGTTTGAGAGCGTAGGGAGACTGACTCTGTTGCGTCTTTCGCAGAGCGATTCTCTGATTGCTGGAGATTCCTTTGCAGAATCATGGGTAATGTAGTTTTTCACCAGAATTTCCACTACTGAAAATTATTGTTTAAAAAATAATTGAAATAATGTGGGCTGATGGCTATACAGAAGCAAATACCATCTATTAACAACCTCATAGCTTATAGTAGTTATTTAATGGTTTTTAAGTTATTGTTAAAAATCAATTCCTCTATGGCAGATATGTCCATTCCTGCTCCTCGAGGGCCACTGTCCTGCAGTGTTTCTGTACGATCACACCACCGCCGACTTGAGCTTCCAAAGCGGCCGGAAGTCATTCATTTTCAATGGAAGCTAGCTTTTCTCAGCTGCAAGGAGCGTCAAATCCATCGGCGTCGAGTTTTGGGCGTTTTGAGCGTCAATCAGAAAGTTGAAAGAAGCTCAACTTTATGGTAATGAGCTGTGACGTGGTTCAGCGGCAAGCAGCGGCAAAACGCCAGCAACCAATCGGAATATAGACGTCCTTCGCGCTGGCTGATTCCGGAGAAACATACAATGTAAACTTTCGTTCCTACCAAAACATTAGTTCCGAGAAAATGGAAGAGAAGCTAATAATCGCCGTTGCTGGGTTTCCTACAGATTTCCTATCATTTATGACATGACGTTGTTTGCGTATAGCGCATTGCGTATAGCGCATATAGCATGAGCGCAACTTTTTTTCTTTTTTTTTAATACATTTTATTGGATACAGCGTTCAAACAATATTTGCAACATGATACAATATAAGTCTCCATTTTATGAATGAACAATTTCAGAATAAACAATTCTTCAAAACAAGTCATTTTATGGTTCCCTCCCCCACAACCCCCAACCCAATCCCGCCCTCCCTCGAGCGCAACTTTTATTTGAAATATTTACGAACGCTCGTTTTAAAGCAGGAATGCAATTGATTTGCTCACGGTGACACCGATTTGACCGCAAATAATAATAATAATAATA